TGGTGTCCGTAGCCCGATATCTGATCTAGATGATGAGAAACAAGCATTAGAAGTTGACAGTGCAAGAACGACGAAATCGCCCAAAACTTTGTAACTCACCAACTCTCATAAACTCAACCATTCGTTCCAAAAACGTCAAGTTAAGACCGAGATTTAAGCGAAAGTTCTTTTAACGACTGTTGGTGTCCGTAGCCCAATATATGATCAAGATGATGAGAAACGAGCATTAGAAGTTAAAACACCAGAGTTTCACAGCGACTACTTTGTTACTGTACAACTAAAGAAGTTGAAGAGAAAAATCAGCCAGGATTTCCAAAAAAATTAATTATTTTGAGAAGAGTTTTCTGGTTTCCAACAGTAGTCAGTTAAAGTTTAACAAAAACCGCTCACTGCACAAAATCCACAAAATAGCTCGTAAAAATGTCGAACCAATAAACTCCTGAACATTTCCAAGGACCGGGTGTTGTGCCCTAACCAGCAGAACATAACTGTCTGGAACAAACTAGAGGATCCAAGGAATAGTAGGCAAAACAGTTTCTAATGACGGTATGGGTATTTCGTACCTGGAGCGCATGGGTTGTACTCGCAGGGATTTCTCCTGCGACAGTTCTCCCCATTGCCTTCAAAGCCACCAGGACACGGCCCGCATTGATAACCTCTGGCAGTATCTCTGCACTCTACGCCTGGATAGCAGGGACGATCGGCACAGGACTTGCCTGGCGTGCAACTGTAGCCTGGAAATCAACGCTCTTGACCCAAAAGCCAGTTTAAACTTAGCCAAAAACGCACCATCCCCAATRTATCCAGAAGGACATTCTCCGCATCGAGGACCTTGRGGCGTTTCATGACAACGCACTCCAGGGGCGCAGCCTGGAGGATGAGTGGCGCAGGTGGGGACTTGGGGAGCTACCGGCCTCTGCCTGCAAAGCTCRCACTCCTCGATCAACCGTCTCAGCTTGTCGAAGGCCTCAGCTTGCCCCTTGCACTTTTCCACCTCCAGGTTCACCACATTGATCAGCTGGTTCATTGCGTTGATTAATCCGACTGAAACAGTTCATAGTCGTCCCGAATGGCTGGCTGATGGCTGGAGGACTCACAATCATCCAGAGTGGTCACCAGGGGAATGTCTCCTCTAGTGGGAGACGACACCACGCTCCTGTAGGGCTCCTGCGACTGGATGTTGGGATCGTCTTTCAAGGAGTTGCTGGATAGATCCGAGCTGAAACCTGCATCAAAGGTCTTTTCAATTGGCAGCGGGCATTCGTTCCTGCTCAGCACTGCGCGAATGTCCCTATAGCCGTCCACCTCCATTTGATACTTTCGCTCATGGAACTGAAACGGTTTAGATGAAATATCCACTTTCTTTCCAGCAACAAGGGAATTACCACTTCCAGATTGGGCCATCTCATTCCAGAATACATTTCCCTCATGGATTTGGGTGTGGCGACCATCCCATAGGCCACACAGTTCAAGTACAAGTTGGCATGGGCTGGTTGCGACTGGTTAATGGCCAAAATCAGCGACTTGATCAGACTATCATCATGCAACACGTCCACAGTAAAGTGTTGCTCCCTTTGCCTGCTGTCTTCCAGGGTTTGCACCACCACTGGAAAAAGTGCAGGTGTTTATCTAGTTCCTAGTAACCTTCATGAATCGCTCAACACTCGCTAATGGTATTTTCGGTTGGCAAATGAGGATCTATTTTTAATGGCCCCGTTCTGGATGCGGCACAATGATAAAATCTGAACCTGCGTTTACCTCGTTTGGTCTTCCTATCCAGCAGCAGGGAGAATTTGTTTTCGGCGCCTGGAAAGTCGATGGAAACCAGGGTTTCCACCAGGCCTCTAGACCGTTTCTTTGGCTTGATGTGTTTCAGGGATAGGATGAAGTTGTCGTTCTTGATCACACTTTCTAGCTCTTTGGTTGTATCTGGAATCATAACAAAAATGTTCTATAAATGTGGCCATCAATTGCCGGCAAAGTTTTCGTCAAATGGCTGGAGAATATTAGTTTTGTCAGTTTAAATGGTAAATATTCACAGTCATTTGAAGCTATTCTGAAATTTCGTCTCAACAATCTTGTGAGCTGTGCAAATCATCTTAGTAGAATTAATTTGGTAAACACCAGACCAGATGGAAAATTGGCTGTGGTTTCATCGGGTAGGCATATCAGTGTTGGCCTCATACAGGTTGATATTTTCAATCGTTTGTGTAACTGAGTATTCTAAGCATTTGAACTAGAAGAAGACGCGATACAATTGTTTTGTTTAAACACTAATCTGATAACTTTGAAACGCGTTTATTCGGAAACCTCTAGACAAAAAGCAACCCTGGTTATATAATAAATAACTAATGTAAAGAGAAATAAACGCCCTTTAAAACGATCTGACTTGACCCCCTTCCCATTTAAGATTCTTCGGGTGACACCTACCCGTTCTAGGGGGTTGAAACAAGGAGGCTAAAAATATTCATTTAAAGTGCCCCCCTTACCCRTAATAGATTTTCGGGTCTTTCTAGTCTTTCATATTTTAAACTGCAAAAAAGATTTAAGGGTGGGAAGTTTTCAAATTGACACCCGGTATAAAATACCGGGTGATTTAGGAAAACCATTACTGGAGCTTAAGCAGGAAATGTTCAAAACCAGAGTTGGAAGCTGAGTTTAGCGAAAATATTAGCTCTTGAAACCTATTTTTAACTCCACTTGGCAAACTATTCGTTTAGTTGAGAGAATGCATTGGAAAACTCCCTTAAATTCGCACTCAGGATTACAAGGTATTTGGAGCTCGCTTTCACTCAGGTAATTTGAGCAGAAATTCCGAAAGTGAAAGAAAATGAATTGGAATTGAGCAACAAGTGGCAAACGAACTTGATCATTTTTTTCATATTTTTTATCACCCACGCCATTGTATAAAAGTACTTTAAATCTAAATATATGCATACATTTTTCACTACTTGAAAATATACACATATTTAAACATATTTCCAATATTCACAAGTATGAACAGATACGTTATTATTATATTTACTACATCTACAATTTACAACATTATTTGAATGCATAGATACAATGAGTATATAGGGTTATTCACGCTATACGGCACGGACGTTTGCCTGTTTGTTTTTTGCTATTGGGTGCACATTTTAAAAATATTTTTGCAATGTACAGAGTGTCCCAAAAGCCCTAAAAGTATCAAAGTTGTGTTTTTCTAAATGAAATACCCCATATGTATATTATTGCATTTGGATTCTCTGAGCAAAATAAGTGTTTGTTTTAATAAGATTTATTATGTCTAAATCTAAAGGTTTTTTAAATAATTCGAATTTTATGAAAATCTAATATTATTTTCATGTGTCAAATACTTTAGAATTATTTAAGTTATG